GCGACGGCGCGGAATAAGATTTACTCTTCAAAGGCACGCCTCCGCAAGCAAAATGCAACGATGCTGGCAGACTTCCGTCTCGCTTTCAATTACGACTACACATCTCTTTATACACCTCTTTGCTCTCTGACTCTATCCTTCTCCCCCCCCTTCTTTCTCTGTGTTGTTTCTCCCTGCTTCTTACCTTCGGCAGCGATGGAGTCAAGCGCTGTCTTAACTCCCTTGTTGGTGCCCACCACGATCTGCGCCAGGCTGTTGCCCGTCTTCACGGGCTGAGAGTCATACTCGTAACTGAAAGGAGGAAGAGGAAATAGAGACAAGCAGGATGGAGTTGAGACGGATTTGAGGGAGCAGGCGCCTTGGGCGGTCAAGGGGTGTAATCGAAGCCGAAGGTCGACGAGGAAGAGATCAAGTACTTGGGGAGAGCGCGCAAGGAGTAAGAGAGATTGTAACGAGGAATGTAGGGAGGAAGCACGGAAGGGACGCACTTGAGGAGGAGGGCGGTGGCGGGCACCCGCATCATGTGGAACTGGGGCTGCTTGAGTTTCTCGTGGACAAAGCCCATCGTGTAGATGTGGTCGTCATCGTAGCCCACCCAGGTCGATATGCTGGTTTCTGGCGGTACATTTGCGTGCTTCTTCAGGACTTTCATGCCTAAGAGAGAAGAGGCGGAGGAGAAAGGGAGCGCAAGGGAAAGGGATATTTGCGAGGGGCATGAGAGGGCGCAATGCGTGGCGTGTGAGCGGGTCTGGGTCAATCTCTAAAGACTTCTATAGAAATACTGTTGGAGGAGCAAGCAAGCAAAGGAAAGGACAAGGAGGAGAGGGAAACGCGCACCGAGCTTGTTGTAGAAGGCAACGGCCTTCTCTGTGTCGAACACGCGGAGGGTGACAGAGGAGAGGACGTCCTTGCTCTCGCCTTGAATGAAGGTGACCTGAGGGCGAGAAAGACAGGCAACCAGAGCGGGAACGACAAGGAAGTGAGTCGTTGGATCCTTGGTTGTCGGCATAAGATGTGCCGACCCGGCCCCTCTCTCTCTTTCTCTCTCTCTCCTCCCTCCTTCCCTGTCACGTTTCTTCCCATTCCTCCCTCATTCCCTCCCTCGCGCCAAAGCTTATTTTCCGGAATCGCCTTCAGTCGCACCTTGTATCCGTCTGGGTCTGTCACCACGGCTTTTACCTCAGTGTTCACTTCCTGCGCGTCCTAGAGGGGTAAAGACGGAAGCGGAGAGGAGAGGAAAAAGAGCGGTGAGGGCTCAGCAGGCGTCGGCTTCTGCGTCTCGCCATTTGTTGCCTTTGGACTGAGAGCTGAGAGCAGAGAACAAAGAAGCTGATGCCAGAAAGGCTGACTTTCAGGCCCAAACAGTTAGGCACATCAAGAGCTAGTCGCGTTGAAAGAGAGAGGACCAGGAGGAGGGCTGCACAAAGGGGTAGATGGGGCAAGCGAGCAGGAGGCTAGAGAGAAAAGGCGCTAGACGGAGGGAGGGAAGGCGGGGCATGCACCTGGTCGGGGACCTGCGTGGCCGGAAACTCGACGGTCGCCACGGCCTTGAGCTCTTTTCCGCCCGCGTCGGTCGCCTTGGCCACGGCTTTCTGCACGTCTGGCACTAGGAACGTGGTTCTGGGTCGAAGGAGGGGAAGGAGGGAGAGAAGGAGGGAGGAAGGAAGGAGGATGAGAAGGGAAAATGAAAAGTATGCAGGGAGAGTCGAGCGGTCTGGTCATTACTCATGATGACCTGCGCGCACTCCGACCTCCAACCACGGTCCTCGGTCAATGAATCCTGGAGGGCTACCACCGCCCCGCCCTGGATTGAGGGTCCTGCCTACTCTTCCTCCTTCCCGCATCCTTTTGTCCTCGCTTTTCTGCCCCCTAGTCGCCTCTGTACTTTACCGCTCTCTTCTCGCAAGAGCCCAAGTCACCACCAGAATATCTTCATCGTCCCCTGCTCTCCTATCCACGTCCGTCCCCACCATCTTCACTACCAAAGCTAACACACCCTTGCCTCCATCTTAACCCCCACCACCCCCTCCTCCCTGTCCACCCTCTGCCCCCTGTCCTACCCGCCGTAGCCATCGCCAAGCGAGACGGGGCTCGAGTCTTGTACGAACTGGAGCGCCACGTTCTGCCCGTACTCCTCCGAGCTGTAAGGAAGGAAGGACCGCGAGGGGATAAAATTGGGTTATTCGGCGAGTAACGTAGGCAAAGTGCCGACAAAAAGCATCTGACAGCCTTTTCCTGGCAAAATATTCTGATGTGGAGCGCTCCAAAGCGCTTTCCCCCCCCCTTGCTTCTTCCTCCCCTCTCTTCCATCTCTAACCCTCAAGCGCACCCGAAGCCCATGACGGAGGCGGAGTACTCGGGCGTGACTTTTTCCCTGAGGTTGATCATGCCAAGGGCCTCATAGAACTTGACAGTTTTCTCCAAGTCGGCGACACGGCACTGAAGGAGCGCGAGAGAGAGAGGAAGGGAGGGAGGGAGGGAGGGAGAGAGGGAGAGGGAGGGGGAACGAGAACAAGTTGGAAGGGGGAAGAGCGACATGAAATTTAGTTTCCTCGAGCCTCGCGCAAGTGTCTGCCAATATAAACGCTGAAAGACTGTGCAACGCGCAGACTACTCGCACAGGATTGTAACCCTTTCCTCTTCCCATTCCGTCTTTCGCGCGCCCTCCTGACGCATGCCATCCCCTTCCTATCAACCTCCTCTCTTCCCCCCCAGCCACTCACCACCACGTTCAACAGGCGCGCGTGCGCGAAGGGATGCGAGTTTGGGACAAAAGTAGTATGGCTTTGGTCGGGTGCCGTGCTGCCAACGGACTCTGTGGCCGCCATCTCCTCTTCTGTCAACTTCGCGTAGTCCTAGCCAGGGGGAGAGGCGATGAGGATATCAGTAAAGGAGCCCTAGGGCGATCAAACCTTTCCTCCCCAGCAAGCACATGCATTCGATTTAGTCCTACCCGACCAGGCACTCTGCTCCTTCCTTTTCACACATTCCTCACCTTGACATCGGGGCGCAGGATGAAGGTATCCTCGGGCAGCACCTCGTACTGCTCCTCCGCGTCCCATGCTGTCTTTTCCTTCTTTGTAGCCGTTAAGGGCGCGGCGAGGGCTTTCCTGTTGACTGTCAGAGAGGGGAAAGTCGAGGTCCCTGTCGCGGAGGACAGGACGGGATCAGCGTGCGGATCGCGTAACGGAAGCCAGGAGTATCGGATGTCAAATGTTCCCGTGTTATTTCCTACCCTTATGCACGCCTACACCTCTCTCTATCTACATGGTCACCGCAGACACCTGTCCAGTTTCCTGGAAGTTACGTACCTGCGCGACAAGAGAGGGAAGGAGGTAGGAACGCTGTAGCCAAAGAGGCGAGCGAGCAGGCCACACCCGCGGCGATCCAGACACGCAGAGACATCTGAAAAGTACAGGTATAGGTACCAGACCTATGTCAGAATGTCAGTATGGGGAAATGGGAGGAGAGAGGTCGAGCTATGAGTTTCCCTCGGGTTTCGGGATCCACGAGGTCTTCCTAACCCCGCCAGACAAGCAAGCTCCAGCCTCTGGGAGATGAGCAGCGCTACCCTTTCCACTTTGGCACAGTTTTAAAAGAAAGGGCGACAACGACACGTGAAAGGCCATGGCCTGAGGTGGGAAGGCTCTTTCGCGCTATTTTATCGTATTCGCATCGGGAATGCGGCCTCCAAGGACAAAGGCAACCTTGGTGCAAGAATTCCGCGTCTCATTTGAAGACTCTGAGACAGGATACTCCCCTGTCCCTTTCCAGGCCCTAAGCCAATGCTCGCACGCGTGCTATTACCACTCTCGTCCCATTGTAATACCCCCCAGCGCCTACTGAACCCTCCCTCCTGCCTTCTCAACCGCCACCACCGGTGGAAGTGCGAGGAAGACGCCAGCCTCGGTGCAAATACCTTTCTGGAGTTGTACGTTGGAGGGGGGCACTGGGCGATCGGACAAGCTCGCTCTAACCAGTGACTCCATTATCTCCCCTGCCACTTATCCCCAATAGTCCTGCCTTGTCCAGTGCTCGCGCTCAGGGTGGCTTTCAACAAAACTGAGACGGAAGTAGTGTTTTGTTCGTATTGCGGAATTCTACTTTGAGTGTTAGACGATAAAATTCCTTCTTGACGCGATGCACGACACCTGTACCACAGCGCAAACCTCCCCACCTACATCGCTGCAACTCTTCTCCCACCCGCTTTTTCCTCAGGACACTTCCTCTCGACCACCACGCGCACAAGATCATCTCCTGCGCGTCCTTCGAACTCATCGCGGTCAATTGATAGGATGAGTGCTGGAGCTACGAACCTGCCATCCCCGTCTTCTGCCTCCTCCCCCTCTCCCCCCCGCCGTCGCCGCCCTGCCCCCCGCTCGACACCTTCTCCCCCCCGCAGAGCACGAGGACACAGAACTTCATCGGTGTCTCGTACCGGCAGTGTCTTTCAGTCGGGATATTTTTACATGTGCGTGCAACATTTGGGACGTTTACGCCGGGGAGGGGTCCGAGGACGAATGTAGACCCGACATGTCACGGGGACGTGCGACATAATTCACAGCGCCCTTTCTTCGCAGGCACCCTCTTCTAAGGGCTCATAGTTCACGCCCCTTGATTCTTCTCCGCCTCCCTTTCCCTTCTCCCAGGTCCCTCCTAGCCCTCCAGTTCGGCCTCCAGCCTCTCTTGGTCCGTGCTTTCATTCCCACGAGCCTGCCCAAGATGCTCGTGGTTATGGCCACCGAAAGCGTCAAGATCCTCCTCTGCGCCCTAGGGCTCTGGGTTACCGAGACTAAGGACAGCCGAGCCAAACTATGGGCGACATGGACAGTGCGGTAGGCGAGGCACTGAATCAGGCGTCCCTTCTCTGTCTGCCTGCGCTCTCCCCCTCTTCCCTCCTCCTCATCCTTCCTCCTTCCAGTCGCCATATGTGTTCGCTAAATTTCTCATTTTCTGGCTTTTGGATCTATCTGCCGGCCTTGGCCCCTGCTCATCCCCCTGTCACCCTCCCCCTGCCCCCCCTCCAGAGAAAGCCTCCGTGTTGCCGCTCTCCCTGCGTCCCTCTACGCCCTCCAAAACACCATGGCTCAATTTGGCTATCAGTACCTGGACTCCCTCTCCTTCAATCTCCTTAATCAGACCAAGGTGGACCCCCCGGCCCCCAACACCGTTTTGTCCTTTTTCAGCATGTTCATCCCTCGATTCCTCCAT